GATTGTATCTGGCCTATTCACAAGTGCAGTGGTATTGCTTTCAGTTAAACAGTATACCTCGATAGCACACGTACATCTCGGAGACGGTCTGCATCTACATCTGCAAGACGTATTTTTTAGAGAGTTTGCTCATCTGCAATACGTCTATAGGACGTTTCCTTTTAAATGTCAAATAGACGTCTATTAGATGTCTTTAAATGTTTATGATTTAGAATGTATGTAAAACTGACATCTGAAAGAGGTCTGTCAGACGTTTGTAGACAGCAGATGCTTTCCAGATCAAGAGACCTTTAACAGATATCTTGCAGACGTACGTGTGCTATCTGGGATAGGCTAATATTACATTTTGTTGACAGATTAATTGGCTCTGTATTTATGTATTTATTTATTTTTAAATATTACGCCTGATAATGTCTCCTAGTACGAGAAAAAGCCAGAGCCCGGAGACCTCATTGAAATCTCCCGAGGCTTATACCAGCACTGGGCTATTTATGTTGGTGAAGGTTATGTGATTCACCTGGCACCACCCTGTGAGTATTTTACATGCCTCAGATGATATTGAGCTTAATTTGCATTGAATCTGAAACATTCCATTTAAAGGCACAATATGTAAGTTTTTTTTATTAAAATATCCAAAAACCACTAGAACAGTGTTATATATTTTGCTGACTTGTATACTTACATTATCCCAAATGTTTCGAAGAATGTTTAAATCCAGAGAAATAAGCAATTTTAACTAGTGACACGGACCGTGTCCATAGTGTCATTGTGTCGCCTGACAATGACAACATAACCCCTCGATTTCCGGTTTTGTTTTGTAGAAAACATGGAAACACCAAAGACGCTTTAATATGTTGTGCGTTTTAATAGACCGGTGACAACCGCACAGAGTAGCATTATAACAGAACTTTCAAATGTATCTAGTATGATAAAACAGCACTGCTTTTTTTCCCACATATGCACGACCGGAAGGAGCGGAAGCGGTCGACTGTGGCATAATAAAAGCTCCGCTGCTTTCGAGCCGTGTGTCACGCTCGTTCAGAGGCCTCGTTTCGCTTCGATGGCTTTCAGCCTCACTCTGCTTCATTCTACTACGTTAATAAATCATTAATACATTAGCTCATCCATGAACATGATTTCTGCCCGAGTCCCATCGGATTGCATCGGCTGTGGGGATGAAGACCACAACTCCCATGATTCCACACTCAGTCACGGCGTCATCAAACTACGCCTTTGTCTATTTGTTTATTTTGAATACATGCCCTCTAGCGGCGAAAATTACATATTGTGCCTTTAAGTCTAATGATTGCTTTTACTTTTCCATTTCTTTTGTCTACAGCTGAACATGCTCATGCTGGGGCCAACAGTATCATGTCAGTACTACATGAAAGAGCCACAGTGAAAAAATAACAACTTTATGAAGTAGTTGGCAATAATGATTATCGTATCAACAACCTTTTGGATGAGAAATATAAGCCACGTCCTGTTCGAGAGATTCTACAGGATGCACACAGTTTTTTGGGAAAAGAACATCCATATAGTGTGTTTACAAAGAACTGTGAGCACTTTGTTACAGAGCTGAGATACGGAAAACCACAATCCCGCCAGGTACAGTTGTTTGGCATGACCTGGCATACTGGGATAATTCACACAAGTACTGTTACTGAATTATAATACTCATAAATGTCTCAAAAATGCAAATCACTGTATTTCAGGGCTATTTATGGTAAAATATTTTAAAATAATTTATTATAGGTTTAAGGTCACAAAAGCAACAACTTTTCACACAGTGAATTCTCTCTTCCTTCGGCTTGCTCCCTTTTAATCAGGGGTTGCCACAGCAGTGTGATCCGCACAACCGATTTGGCATATGTTTTACGCCAGATGCCCTTCCTGTTGCAACCCAGCACTGAGAGTACTTTTCACACAGTGAATTAATATAGATCATTTCTGTTTATTCTAATAGGTGCAAGATGCAGTGAGGACTGTTGCTGCAGGGGCTGGTGCAGGGCTTGGCATTGGAATCATTGCTTATGCAGTTGCAACCTTTCTTGGTTCAAAAGACAAAGAGAAGCAGACACAATGAACAGTGAGAAATTAAGAACTAAAAGTACTAGATTATTTAAAGCCAGTAAATTGTTTGTTACTTTTTATTCATTTTAAATAATTGAGATAAACCATTAAACTTAAATGTAAAAAATTGGCAGCCTTAGTTTTATGAGCACAAATGGAGAAATTCATAAATAGAATGTAAAATCTATTGTGGTGTAAGGTAACTCAGTAAAAAAATGAGTCCATAGTCCACTGATAAATCTCTAATTTCTTGTTCTTCTAATTTATTATTATTTTTTTTTATATATATATATATATCACACATTTATTTTTCTACTAGACTTTTATAACTGTCTATTATAACCAAAATATAGAAAGCTGAATACAGTGGCAGCATGAAAGATGCATCCTAGTAAGGCTGCATATAGGTTGCCATGTCATCAAGCTCAATCCCAATTTGAAGGATCCTTAGTAGGCAGTCTATGTTTTGCATCCTTCACTCGGCTTGTTTTGAAGGATGTACATCAGGTGTATCCTTCACGTCTTTCAATCACCCATATCCTTTTCACACATTCCAATTTGCCAAAAAATAGCATGGCCACCCCTATAAAATCTCTGGCCAGCACTGATCACAAGCAAGCAAGCATACAAGATATTTCAGTCTTTCATTTCCAATGTAAAATCCATGGATCTTGTAGTGTTTATCTCTCTGTAACTTTTACTATTAACTTTATTTTTTAAATAATAATTTCCCATTCACTCTTTAATGATTTCACCCATGTCAGCTGTGTGGACTCTAAAGGCCGGGTAAATATCGATCTCTATTTTAATCTTTACCAATATGAATTCTTGCATTTCAGGATAGTTCTTTTAGTCTGTGCTGTTTTCTGTTGGTGCATGAACAAAATTGCCCTAAACATTGTAGCGGCTACCATCCAATAACCGCAATAGCTTTCTACTTTGCTGTTTTTAGTGCAGCTATTTAATAAGAAGTTTATCGCTGTATAAGACAAAATTGTGTTTCCTAAGCCAACAGAAAGAGCTCGATACCTATCTCAAACAAGAGCGCATGTTTGAGTGCATTTACGTTTATGCAAAGTTAACAAAACCGCAAGCAAACACAGTTTCACTTTCTTCTTCTTTTCTCTTTATCTGTTCATAGCAGGGGGAGAGTGGGGCACAACCTAACGCGGGATTAGCTGTAAAACACGTGGTTTAAAAGTACACAGGACAGCATGACGAAACGGTGTGGAATGTTGGACACTTCATGTCACAGCTTTAATTAGATTACATTTTAAAATACTTGTAATCAGACTAGTTCTTTTTTTTTATTGATTACATGATTATTATTGACAAGCTATATAGCTCTTTAAAAATGTTACAAAATATGAGGCCTGATGATATTGTGTCCAAGTAGCCTATGTAGGAGTGGACTTCAGTGAAATCTTCCTATATCAACACTGAGCTATTTATGTTGGTGAAGGTTATGTGATACATCTGGCACCACCCTGTGAGTCATTTACGTGTCTTAAATGATGTCTACTGATAATTAACCTAAAAATGACAATTAAGTCATCCTTTACTCACCCTGGTGTTGTTCAAATGCCATATGCTCTTCGCTTCCTTCTTTTTCAGACCACATCCCTTGTATTGAATCTAAAACATTCCATTTTAAATCTCATGATTGTTTTTACTTTTACTTTTCTTTCAGATAGCTGAAGATGCTCAAGCTGGGGCCAACAGGATGATGTCAGTACTACACGAAAAAGCCACAGTGAAGAAAGAAGAACTTTATGAAGTAGTTGGTAATAATGATTACCATGTCAGCCACCTTACGGATGAGAAATATAAGCTTACATGGAACTGTGAACACTTTGTTACGTAGCTAAAATACGGAAGAAGACCACAGTCCCACCAGGCACAGTTGTTTGGCATGACCTGGCATATTGAGATAATTTACACAAATACTGTAACTGAGTGTTAGTGAATTATAATGTTCTCATAAATGTCTTAAATTTTAAAATTACAGCATTACAGGGCTGTATTATGGTGAAATATTTTACATTAATTTATTATTAGGATTAAGGTCACAAAAGCAACACCTTTTCACACGGTGAATTAATATATGGATACTTTATGTTTAGTCTCATTGGTGCGAATGTGGAAATGGCAGTTGGTCGTACTGCAGCAGTTGGCATTGGAGTTCTTGCTGCTGCTGTAGCCATTTTTGGTTCTAAGACAGAAGCGGACAGTGAACAGTGGGAAACGAAGAAGTACTATTGTGGAGGCCTTTGATTATTTAAAGTCAGTAAATTGTTTGGTGCATTTTACTCAATTTAAGTAATTTAAATGAACAATTAAACATATGTAATGTATTTTTAATGTATTACATATGTATATGTAAGTTATTTGGTAACTCAACAATACAGCAATGAGTCTGTAGTCCACTGATTTTATATATATATATCACATTTAAAATTACCTTTCAAGAACTTTTATAACTGTCAAATACAATAAAAACTTGAACAAATTATGTTTAAACCTTTATTGATTTGGACTGAACTTGTCATACATCTGCAGATTGAATCATAGCCTACTTAAAACCGAGAATCAGAATGAACAAACCACTTTAATGACAATACAAAGAGCACCACAAGTTGTTCCTTTATACAGATAACACAGTTGAATGCAAACAGGACTTCCGTTCCGTCCATAAACTGAAGCATTGTTTAATGTTGGTAACCTGTATGATTGCTCACCTGTGACGTCTGCATGGTTGACAAAGCAGTCCTCTCGAACATAGCAGACATCGTTTATGTACTCCATGCACAATATCTTATTTACATTTAGAATAATTACTACAAATTGAGAAATGTGAGGGGAGAGTGTCGATTTGAACCATTTCGACGTCGTTTCAATGTCAGTTAAGCTCACCTGCATTCTTGTTGGATGCAGTTAAATATCCCACGCTCAGCATCGTCCTTGACAATACTGCATAGAATGGGGTAAATCGGAGTGAGTCTGACGACAGAAAATTACACACTATATTTCCAAATCCGAGGCTAAACTTTATTTATTAATAACACTGGCCATTGATAAAGGTTGCTGACCTGCTGTAACTGTTTGTCCAACAATGGAAAAGTGGCCACCTAAATTTACACCGGCTATTATAAGCCTCCTGAAACATACAAAGGAATTATTCCTGATGACACCTATAAAGCGTAAGTGAAAGTGTTTACGTTATAAGAACAGCAAGATCACTTTTAGGGCGCCAGCCAATGATCTCCATCAGCGCCGGATGACTCTGCACGCTGATTGGTCGACATCAACAGTCACATCAGCTGGTTTATTCTATTGATGTTATTTTTGCTTCAGACACGAATACAAGGATCGTAGCTCACAGACACAAACATCATTATTTGTAAGTATGATTCATTAGTTATGTACAAAAAAAAAAAAAAAGAGTTATGTAAGACCACAGGGTTACTTACAATCTCGATTACAGAATGAAGACCGCGGAAGCGTGGATAGTTTGTTTTGCAAGACGTCTACTTGTCAACTTTATCCTGCAACCTGATTTTGTTGGGGTTCCCCCGATGCTCCAACCTATTCTATTCTCTTACATAGAAACGTGATTAATGTAATTTCCAGAATATGTCGCACATTTGTTGCCATCTAAAAGTCATTGTAAAGGTAAATAAAAGACATACATAAATGTAACAGTAAAGATTAATTTGTGACCGGATCACAAAAGAAAATGCATCTTAATACCATGTGGAAACAGGTCTAAATGTCGGTTTATGTGTCTCATAGGATTATTAGAGTGAAAACAAGAAGAACAGTGTTTTGGGATTGCCATGGCACCGACAAAGGTAAATGTATTTTAATAATCTGAAACGAACTGAAAGACTGAAATGTAACATTAAATTAAAAAAAAAAACAAACAACTCAAGCAAGCACACTTTCGCTTTATTTTTTTAAATGATCTATTCACAAGTGCAATAGTATCTGGTTATTTGAGTCAAACAGTATGATATTATTGTCAATCTAAATGTCTCTTTAAAAAATGTTATAAAATACGACATTTGATATTGTGTCCTAGAATGATCAAAAGCCAGAGCCCGGAGACCTCATTGAAATCTCCCGAGGCTTATACCAGCACTGGGCTATTTATGTTGGTGAAGGTTATGTGATTCACCTGGCACCACCCTGTGAGTATTTTACATGCCTCAAATCATGTCTATTGAGCTTAATTTGCATTCAGTCTGAAACACCGCACAGACAAATGTTGGGATTTGTCTGTCGGCATTGGTCGGGCTTGTTTTCACCCGAGTGAACATGTTCAATCAGCGTTTGTCAGTGTCTTTTGGGACAGTGTGAACACAGTTGTTTTTCATAAAATTCTAAATCGAAAGGCCAACTCGTTTGTTGGTGTTTGTCTGTGCGGTGTGAATTGACCTTTAGTCTCATGAATGACATGTAAATGTCAAGCGTTTTACAGACTGTTTTCCTTTTCTTTCTCTATAGCTGAAGATGCTCAAGCTGGACCCTACAGTATGATGTCAGTATTATGTGACAAAGCTACAGTGAAGAAAGAAGAACTTTATGAAGTAGTTGGGAATGATGAATACTGTATCAACAATCTTCTGGATGAGAAATATGAGCCACGTCCTGTTCGAGAGATTCTACAGGATGCACACAGATTTTTGGGACGAGAACTTCCATATTGTGTCTTTAGAGAGAACTGTGAGCACTTTGTTACGGAGCTGAGATACGGAAAATCACAGTCCCGCCAGGTACAGTTTGAACATCACAGAAGTAATAGTGTGAAGTAGTGAATATACTTTCAGTAATTAACAGGGCTGTTTTATGGTAAAATATTTAATGTTGATAGAGGCAGCATTAACATTAAATGACATGACACACACACACTTAATGGCAGAATTATGCTTAATTAATTGATGATAAGTTTCTGTCAACATAGGATTAATTACATGGTGGAGTTAATTTGTACAACAACCATTAGGCTTCTTCATGTGTTTAATATTTGTCTTGTGTCATATATGTATTTATATTTATTATACATTTTGTTTTATATAGCCTACTTTTTACAAAACATTTAAATACATATTTTAAATATGTGTTTAATGTCAGTGACACTGGTCACAAGTGTCATTGGCACATGCCACTCTCCACTGACACTTGTGACATGTGCAGCTATACTAATTGTGAAAGAAAAACCTAAATAAATAGACTAATTTAGTGATTTTTAAATAAATGTCAATTATACGTATTTACAAGTTGGTATTTTTTTCCAACATGTAGGCTATTTGAGTGGCATGTGCCACTGAATGTTGAGTAATACCAGTGCTATTGTATGTCGCTGATCACGCAAACTGTCCATTCTAGGAAACACACGGAATTAATCAATCATGGGTCACTACGAATACCACATTTACAGTCGAATCTTTTACTGCAAACTTTGACTGAAACATCAATTAAATATCATTCAGCTGTTAGGTGCGTGTGTTACACAATCTACGTTCCGGCAGACATTCTGTGACAATCATCGACACGTCACAAGTGTCAGTGGCACATGCCACTCTTCACTGACACGTCAGTGAAAACCGGAAGTGTCACCGGATGTGCCACTGAGCATAGTGGCGTGTGCTAATGGCTTCTGTGCGTCAGATGCCATGTCATTTAATGTTAATACTGCTACTGGAATAGTGATGTGTGCTTAGCCTATCATACAGTGAATTAATATAAATAATTTCTGACCATGCTCATAGGTGCGGAACGCAGTGGAGATTGGTGTTGGAGTTGGTCTTGCTGTAGCAGCTACCTTTGGAGTTCTTGCTGCTGCTGCAGCCATATTCGGTTCAAAAGACAAACAGAAACAGTAAAGACTGGGAAATGAAGAAGTGAAAGCACAATTGCCTTTGATATTTAAAGTCTATAAAATGTTTATTGCATTTAATGGAAATAATTAAAACATTTAATGTATGGATTAAGCAAGCTTAGTTTTATGAGCACAAATGGAAATATTCATAAACAGAATTTAAGAGATTGTCAGCAACCAAACAAAATCCCATCTGTTGTTGTTTGAGGACTACTGCTACTGACAAATCTCTGCCTGAAGGATTTTTTTAAATTAATATTTTTCTTTTTCTTTATACTGGTTTTCTAATAACATCTCAAGCATTTTAATAACCATATAATCAAAAATAGGCTGAATATTTGACCAAATGAATCCTAAAATAAACTGCCATGTTTCTATTTTTGTGCCATTAAATATTTGACATCATATACTAGGTGTCTGTGTTAATTTCTTGATGTGATTTTACTATACCAGTATATCCTAGATGCTACTTATTGAATTAATTCTGTAGTTCCATGGTGCAAGATTACCATTTACACAAGAAAATCGGAAGATTTCTGCATAGCTGGCCTGCATTACATCAGCTCAGTGGGACCTTTGTTACCATTTGCACAGCAATTGAACAACCGACATTCGAGACATCACGTTAAATATCTCTAATGGATGGAATTAAATGTTCAATTATTTAAATTATGTAGGGTGAATACAGGTTAAGCTCAATCAACAGCATTTCGTGGCATGTTGATGATCACCATGAAAAATCATTTTGACTCGTCCATTATTTTCTTTAAAAAGAAAAGAAAAAAAGCAGCAGGAATCAAGGTTGAGGCACTTGGAAGTGAATGGGGCCAAACCACTGATCTATCATAGAGAACTGGATTGCTCATGAGGTCATGGAAGTGAAGCCGCCGCACCGCCATATTGGTAATCCCTAGTGTGCGTAAACGTTCTACTCAATTAATAGGAAATACGAATTAATGACTCTGAAGTATCCCTGTACATTCTTACAATGCAAACAACTCTAGGCATGTAAACGGTTATTTTTTTAATGTCGGGAATTTCCCCTGCTTATTAAAAAGTTACTTCATTACAGTAGCGAACATCATGAACATGATAAACATCAGACGGACACGACCTAGCTCAACATATATATAACAAATGACAAAGTGCTCATTCTGAAATCTGAAGAAAGATTTGGATCAATGATTTCGTTAACACCATTCATTTTGAAGCAGGTAATGATTTAAACGGCGGTTAAATTAATTATTAATTTAGCATATATACACATAACATTTTACATGGAAACGGTAATGCTAGTAAACATATTTGCGCGATCTTGGAGAGTCTGAAAATGTTGCTCAATCAGGACATTAAAAATATACACATCATAATTTATTCAGAGAAATAACTGACATATAGTAAGGACTTAAAAACATGAAGCTTTATTTCCAAGATGATGCATGGTAAGTTAAGCTTTTCATTTCAGTACAATCAATATAGTAACGGAGGCTAGTATTATTCATTATATATTCAAATCAATTTCTGATACTAATACGTTCATGCTTAATAATTCCTGAATAATTTGAATAATTAAGCAATAGGCTATATTTTGTATTGGATCAGTTACGTTACCCGTGTCGGCAGTGCGCAGCATGCGCAGCAGCCTAAACGGTTTAAATATCCTGCCTAAAAAGACCATAAACACTGCCGTTAACATCTGAAGTAAAACTGAATTTACATACACCTAACATAAAAACTAATCCCTTGTGACTGACTCGCTTCAAATCGGGTGATTTTAGGTCAGTGTTTTAGCTGTGACTCAATGGTGCTCTCTGACGGTAGGGAATAGTAAAATGGCGGCTCGAACACTTCCGGTGGCTTCACTGCCTGTCGGCAGTTTAGAACGCAATGAGCGATCCAGTCATTATATATAGATCAGTGATAGAATGTTTGGAATATAGAACAAGGGCTGATTGTGAAGAATTACTTTGACTTTGAATTAAGCACGTTTCGATTTCCATAATTCACCCTTCTCCATGCACCCTTTGATTTCATTTGAAATATACTACTGTTTTCCCCTTCCAAAGTCTCTCTAGCACTCGTTCATTAATCTTAATTAAGAGAAGGAAAAATCTTCAAAAGACCACTGATCTATAATAGAGAACTAGATTGCTCATGACGTCATGAAAGTGAAGCCGCCGCGCCGCCATATTGGTAATCCCCACTATTCCCATACATTCCATTGAATTAATAGGAAAGCGTACGAATTTAATGAGAAAACATCACCTAACAAGTCAGTGTTTTTAAATCTGAAGTA